TAAAAATACATATCCCTTACGACTTGCCTGAAATCGATAAGTGAAATATCGAGGCGAACAGCTTCCAAACAGAGAACACTTGTCATATGGAATGTAAACAATTGCTCTACATCGAAAACTGTCGCACGTGGTGTTGTCGGTGTTTGCTGAACTGGTTTCAATCACAAGTGTTTTTTTCGACAGATGTTAGCGCCATTTTCAATTGGACTTTTAGGATATTCGTAAAGAGCGCTCCCATACAACACTATGGGGTTCGTTTGAAATAATGTTTTGGCTGTAGAGAGCGCGAGAGTCGAGTTAATGCAACGTTACATTAATTCATTCAAACGTTTTAATTTTATACTGTAATCAAGATACATATTTTTTTCAGTAAATTACATGGTAGCTTCCAAGAAGGCTGATAGTTAGTATTATTGAGAGAAATTCAAATTCTTTAGAGAAGTGTGGTTCGAAATTGAGTGAAAGTGCCTTTGAGATGGTCTGTTTCACCTAAGAAAGAATGGCCACGACTCTGCATTACTAAATCGTGTGTGTAATTGGTAGTTATTTTACAAAGTGTCGAGAAACTTCTTTCCCTAGCAACTGTTCATTTCTAGTATGTACTGCTTTGTTTCAGTGGCGCATGGATCGATATTTAATTACATTTGTGATTGGTGGAAAACGGCTGAACAATACAGTATATGTCAGGTCCAGTATAAAGACATGAAACAGGTGAGTGACGGGATAAGAAGAAACATTCAACAAATTAGTACTGTCATTTCAAAAGTGTTTGCCACTAATATGACAATGTCCCCCACCGCTACAGAAGAATGAAATATTTATAACATATTTACTACTTTTTATTTTTTGGTCACATACAATATGCCTAAATTGACAGGTGTCTGTGTAATCCCCCTACGTTGGCTGTCACTAAACAACAGTGCATGAGATATCACGTTAACAAGAGTTTGAAAAGTGGTCAAAGTGTTGTGGTGACCTGGAAAATAAGGTCAAGGTCACCCAAGTTGACTGGTGCCTGCGTAATCCCCCAATGTAGGCTGTCACCAAACTCGATACATTGGGTACAACAGTTCATGAGATATCGTGTTAACAAGAATCGGGACGTACGTACGGACGCTGCTGAATACATAGTCTCCCATTCCGCGTTTGGGCGGGGGACAAAAATGTGGCGTATTTTTAGTGGTTGAGTGAAATAAGACTTATTTTCACGTCGGCAATATTTCAGCCATATCGTGACTTAAAAAGTTATCAATTGATAATAAACGGAATGAAATTACAAAAACCTGTCGACGAAGGACAGTAAAATAACTAGAGTATCACAGATAGAAACGTAAAACCAGTAATTAAATCTAACACATTTTAACTATAGAGGACAACACAGTATAAAACCAGGCTATAGATCGCCAACAACTGATGGTTGATCACCATACTCGGGACCATAGGGACTTACAGTGCCCTAGCTGGATACACCCTAGCTGGATATACACCATCCCTTCAGCCGCTGGCGATTGTAGGAAAGAAATCGCCGAAATTTAGAAGAACAAAAATATAGCTTGAATATAACTTTGAAAGTTTTGGGACTTACGTACCCTCTCAGGACAATAATTTTACAATACTTTAAACCCTTTTGAGGTGACAGCCACTATCAAGCTCAGTTACGTACCAATCTAAATTACCAATAATAAAATATATCTTACTTCACACACAAATGTCGTTTTCTGATTGGCTGAGCACTCTGTACCCAGCGAGTAACATTTTCCATGTACCCCGCTGGGATTGCCGAACTCATTTGGTACTTCGTAGTAGTAATTCTGTATCTCGAGTAACATATTCCCGGAACATAAAGAAAAATCAAGAGTGCATCAGCCCATCTCCCCCTAGAGACCAGTGGACAACTTATAATGCATATATTTACAACTTATTCATCAAAATTTATCTAATAATTCTACTTCTTTTAAAAAAATCAATATCAATGATACGTAACAGTTCTAAAAAGATACTTAACAGTTGTGGCGTATTGTGACTCTACTCCATATAGAAACTGGTTGATGAATATGTGAGTAAGTCACCCCTTAAAGATGAAAATATAGAATTAATGTGAACCAGCACTAGTAGAGTTGTTAGAATAGTTGTCATATTTCGTATTATAAGAATTGTCTACTGAACAGACATCTTCACTACCTGAAAGCGTGGAACATGGCTGGTAATATCAATCCCTTATAAATATGTTTCAAGACGATTAGATATAAGAATAATCGTTCCCCATATAAGAATTAATGTCCTCAATGTATGTGACACCAATGTCAGTGAGCATAAAATTATATCAACAATGACACCATGATGCTAATCCTTTGCTAATACTATCTCGTAAAGTTCTCTGCTCAAATATGAGAATGGGCCATCTAATTGTCACTATCTATTTTATTTGAAAAGAATTGTGTGAACGAGGTAAGAAGAATGGCTGAATATCTTGACCGCCCTTTGCCGGAGAAAACGTACGTGGAAATAGCAGAGGCATGTTCCTTCATCAACCTGAAACACGCCAACGAGAAGATCAAGGACCAAACCTACCACTTCCAGTGGCAACAGGGAACTAGTGGCTACTTCAGAAATGGTGAGTACTCAGTTGTAGACAAAATGCGAGCCACTTCACCCGTTGAAACTAAACTGTATGACTGACTGAGTTTGGTTTGACGCCGCTTTTAGCAATATTCCAGCAACATCACGACAGGGGACACCTGAAATGGGCTTCACACATTGTACCCATGTGGGGATTCGAGCCCGGGTCTTGGTCGTGACGAGCCAACGCTTTAACCACTAGGCTACCGCCGCCCCTAGACTGTATGAGTAAGGTTAACGCTGCTTTTAACAATAGCACAGCAAGTAACTATTTAAATGTGCTTCACACATTGCATCATTGTGAGTGTTCAAATTCGAACTATTAGGAGGCACGGAGCAACTCATGCATGCAGTAGACATACGAATGGAAATTGAGAAAACTTTTGAGGAGCGAGTGAGTGAGTTTAGTTTTACGTCGCAATATTTCAGCTATATGGCGTCGGCCAGTAAATAATCGAGTCTGGATCAAACAATCCAGTGATCAACATCATGAGCGTCGATCTACGCAACTTGGATACGATGACATGTGTCACCCGATCCCGTTAGTCGCCTCGTACGACAATCATGTGTTACTGAAGATCAATTCTAACACGGATTTTCACGATTACCTTTCAGGAGGCTAAACATACTAACTGCACAGTGTTACCGATTTATATTAATGATTGAACTTTGTAATGGAGACGTGATGGGAACAGTATGAGGCGTTTAAGGCAAAACGATGAAATTACACTTAATCAGCGGATCAACTTACACTTTTCACCCAACTGTATTCACTTTTAAAAGAAGGAGCCAGTGAACACCGTGTAATGCAATCATATTGGGATTGCACCATGCAATCAGTCAATAGTTTATTTGCTTTTAGGCCACCGGCCCAGAGCAAAGGTTGTACAGTACTATTTACATAGACAATAAATCACACGAAGCGTTATGAACATAATAAAGATTTACTTAAAACAGTTGCATGATATATTTAATAGGCTACATTCTTAATCATTCATCATTATTAGAGGTCATAAGTGATATAAAATTATGTCTTACTGGCAGTTTTAGAAATGTTTCCGGTATGTATTTCTGCCTAACATTATTAAGATATGTACATCCATTGCATTTCATCTTCTATTTTACCGTTTTCACAAAGTCGACAATATCGTTCCTACCTGGTAATACCCTTAGCCCTCCCGGTTTCTATTTCTAATTGTAAAACTCAACACCTTAAACTTGCTAATAATTTTCTATACTTTTGTATCATTGCAAAATTTAAATTTCGTTCTCGTTCAAATATAAAACGCCCAAATGTACATAATTCTGAAGACATTTCTACACCGGCATACCATTCTGTAATTTCTCTCATCCTTTGTACAAGTTGTAATGCACCATGCATAATGTGGCTAAACAGTATGTTTCTGGAATTATTTTGTGGCGGAAGCCATTACGTTGGACCATGTCCTAAATGGAACGATGTATTTCTTACCTGCCACGTTGAAATAGTGAAACATATATTCGAAATATGCGCAATTGATGTTGGAAGAGTGTTTCTGTGTATGTTCTTGTCTGTTTGCCGGGCACGCCCAGGAGAGGATGACCGAGGACAATTAAGTCATAAACAGACCTGCATTGTTCGTAGCGTAGAGGAACTGAAACCTGCCTTACATAATAATCAAAGGCAAAGATGAATATTAGTTTTTGTTCACGAAATAATTATGTGTACTTTTAATACGTTTTTTCGTTTTCCAGGAAAAACTGGCGACTGGAAGAACTATTTTACAGTCGCGCAAAGTGAGAAGTTCGAAAAAATATATGAAGCAAAGCTAAACAAACCGTTCCCATATTGAAATGAATGTTCGAAATGGTTAAGTGAAGCAACAAGTGGTAATCCTCCATTGTCAATACCCCAGAAACGCCACTATTACACTTCAGTAAGAAGGAAGGTTCAGCACTCATTCAATATTTTGTCACTTTATTTTGAACACCTGGCATGATGTCATAGTCTTGTTTTATGTTTTACTTTGAAACTCGAGTCGTTGCAAAAAGACGAAGTTTATTTGATCGATGTTTTGCTTGGATGATCAAAGATAACATGAATAAAGCTGTTATTGACACCCTCAGAGCCAGGCACCTAATCGCCAGCACACAAAGTCAGCCGCCTAACCCGCTCAGTCACCGCGGCTTGCACAAAATGGAAGTACGAATAACTCAAGGCTGTCGAAAATCATGTCACATCAGGTATGTGGTGTTCCCTGGTGCACAGGCAGGTCACGTGAGGATGTGTTTGCACATGTAATCTTGTGACCGACAAATCTGATGTCACCGTGACACACTGGCCAGGATTGCGACATCGGGACGATGACACAGTTAGTTTTTGCCACCTCGTGCCAGATCGATTAGAGATATAACACAAGGTAACTTCAGGTCACAGGGTTCACATTTCAGCACGTGTCACTGACGCAGTCCACTGATGCCAACTCATTAAGATACTGTTCATTGAAAGTCATGTGAGGGTGAGTCATGAATAATTTTCATTGAAAGCAACACAGTTGTACCATTCAGCTCCGAAGTCACAGCGGCTTGCAGTTAAGGTAGGAGAAGGGTTTTAAAGGTCAGCATTATGTGTAAAATTACGTGCTGTTATGTTTAACCTCTTTAAGATATTATAATCTGTTGTGTGAAATGTATACAAATAGACAACTCTAAACCATGAACCATGAAAATATCCACTTACGATATTTTGTAGTTGACGTTATGGGTGTTGTTCTGAAGATCTTGTTCATATTAGCCCTAAATTATTGTCCCCTTGTGTGTGTGTGTGGGGGGCGGGGGTATGTAAGTCAATGTCTCCCAAGGTATTTTTATATCTACCAGATTTTAATCGTATTATATATGGTATTATAATTTAGGGATAGATTCATCTACAATTGCTAACTCCTGAAGGGATGGTGTAAATCCTTCGGGGGTCCATGCAGGTAGCCAATGTACTGTAGGTCCCCATGATCCCTATTATGGTGATCTGCCTGCAGTCTATAGCATGTTTTTATGTTGTCATGTCATCTATAGTTCAAATGTTATAGATTTAATTACTAGTTTTAAATTCATATCTCTGATCATCTACATGGTTGTTTTACTGCCCTTGGTTGACCATTATGAATCTGTAACTTGATTAAGTCACCTTATGACTGAAATATTGCTGATGTGACTTAAAATCTTAACTCACTCACTTACTCACTTGTCCATACATAATCAGTATTTACTAGGAATCCATGGGCACATTCATATTATATACTTGTAGTCGAACTATTCATCAGTAAACATTTTTTCTAACTTTCCCTGTCCGGAATCGGGTTCATCCTATAGTGTCGATGACTCATCTTCACAGATATATCCTCCTTGAAAATTTGGTCGCACTTGCCAAGATGTCAACCCCAGCGGACATAGGAAAGGCGGGACAATTTTCTTACGACTTGATAGATGTGGATGGAGTTCTTCACATGGCCTTGATTGCAGAGAGGTTAAGAACTATGAAACAGCGTCCCCTCCGGCAAGATGATATCTTACTGTGTACATTCCCTAAGTCAGGTAACATCACTGGGAAATATAGATGTCCAATAAACCTCTCCTTCAGGTATTGCACACTCTCTATTTGTGTACATGCCTTATAGTGTGTCTGAGTGGGGTATTCATTCTAAACTGCGCATGGTATCTCAGTGAGCTAGAACTATAAAACCAGCTTAAGTCTGGGCTAGTACAAGCAGCCACACATACACATGCATGCACGTCGTCATATAAGCGAAATATTCTTACGTACGACGTTAAACCCCACTTAACCTCGATGCTCGACTCAGTGTAATGGATTGTTATGATTATACTATAAAAACAAAAGGTACACACTGGACGTGGGAGATCATCAACATGATCGTGGCAGGGAAGGCCGAGTACACCAAACACTGGCAGAACTCAGCCTACCTGGAATACCGGACGGAGGAAGAACTGGAGACACTGGCATCACCACGGGTCCTCCACACTCATTTACTGCCACGGTAAGAATGGTATTCATGATGAATTTACAAAAAAATGTATATACAACCATTGGTAACTATATAATTGGACAGCGGTAATCCCTCGCCGTCTCGTCAATTTGTTACCCTTTCCTAATTTTGTTGGGGCGGTGGGATAGGCAAGTGTTTAAAGCGTTCGCTCGTCACGCCGAAGACCCTGGTTCGATTCCCCACATGTGTACAATGTGTGAAGCCCATATCTGGTGTCCCCCTCCGTGATATTGCTTGAATATTTAAAAAATATGCCTAAAATACTCATTCACTCACTCACAATTTTGTTACCTGATTTGCTGTCTTTTCACATACGTCAGATAAATTGCAGGAATAAAGAAAGGGTGTATCCGTGTTTACATACAATACATTCACACAGGCAGCTGCCCGAATCGGTGTGGAAGCTGGGATGTTAGATTGTGTTCGTCCAGAGGAACCCCAAGGACTGTGCTGTGTCCTGCTTTTGTCAAGACAGCAGCCAGGTCTGGAAGGACGACGCCAAAGACACGGTCGGCTTTACAGGGACATGGGACGACTACCTAACCTGTTACCAGGATGGTTACAGTATGGATGCCTTTACCATGTATGATAAGACGACGAAATATGACGCACATGTTATATAATTAGTAAATTAAACAGAAAACATGCCACCATCATACTTAAAGGCACAATTTCACACATATATTGGGACATATGCACACACTTTAGCTTCCTATTGATGCATTAAAAAGACTTATCCCTTACGACTTGCCTGAAATCGATAAGTGAATCGTCGAGGCGAACAGCTTCCAAACAGAGAACACTTGTCATATGGAATGTAAACAATTGCTCTACATCGAAAACTGTCGCACGTGGTGTTGTCGGTGTTTGCTGAACTGGTTTCAATCACAAGTGTTTTTGCGCCAGATGTTAGCGCCACTTTCAGTAGGACTGAGTTCTGTATCCAAAGGAGTTATAGGATATTCGTAAAGAGCGCTCCCATACAATTCTATGGGGTTCGTTTGAAGTAATGTTTTGTCAGTAGAGGGCGCAAGAGTCGGTTTAATGCAACGTTACATTAATTCATTCAAACGTTTTAATTTTATACTGTAATCAAGATAAATATTTTTTTCAGTAAATTACATGGTAGCTTCCAAGAAGGCTGATAGTTAGTATTACTGAGAGAAATGCATTCAAATTCCTTAGAGAAGTGTGGTTCGAAATTGAGTGAAAGTGCCTTTGAGATGGTCTGTTTCGCCAAAGAAAGAATGGCCACGACTCTGCATTACTAAATCGTGTGTGTAATTGGTAGTAATTTTACAAAGTATCAAGTAACTTCTGTTCATTTCTAGTATGTACTGCTTTGTTTCAGTGGCGCATGGATCGATATTTAATTACATTCGTGATTGGTGGAAAACGGCTGAACAATACAGTATATGTCATGTCCAGTATAAAGACATGAAACAGGTGAGTGACGGGATAAGAAGAAACATTCCAAAAATTAGTACTGCCATTTCAAAAGATAACAAGTGTTTGCCACTTATATGGCAATGTCCCCCGCAGCTACAGAAGAATGAAATATTTACAACATATTTACTACTTTTTATTTTTTGGTCACATACAATATGCCTAAATTGACAGGTGTCTGTGTAACCCCCTACGTAGGCTGTCACTAAACAACGGTGCATGGGATATCACGTTAACAGGAGTTTGAAAAGTGGTCAAAGTGTTGTGGTGACCTGGAAGATAAGGTCAAGGTCACCCAAGTTGACTGGTGTCTGCGTAATCCCCCAATGTAGGCTGTCACCAAACTCGAAGACATTGGATACAACAGTTCATGAGATATCGTGTTAACAAGAATCGGGACGTACGTACGGACGCTGCTGAATACAAAGTCTCCCGTTCCGCGTTGGGGCGGGGGACAAAAATGTGGCGTATTTTGAGTGATTGACTGAGATAAGACTTATAGTCACATCGGCAATATTTCAGCCATATCGTGACTTAAAAAGTTATCAATCGATTATAAACGGAATGAAATTACAAAAACCTGTCGACGAAGGACAGTAAAATAACTAGAGTATCACAGATAGAAACGTAAAACCAGTAATTAAATCTAAAACATTTTAACTATAGAGGACAGCACAGTATAAAACCAGGCTATAGATCGCCAACAACTGATGGTTGATCACCTTACTCGGGACCATAGGGACTTACAGTGCCTTAGCTGGATACGCCCTAGCTGTATATACACCATCCCTTCGTTTGTAGAAAAGAAATCGCCGAAATTTAGAAGAACAAAAATAGCTTGAATATAACTTTGAAAGTTTTGGGACTTACGTACCCTCTCAGGAAAACAATAATTTTACAATACTTCAAACCCCTTTGAGGCGACACCCACTATCAATCTCAGTTACGTACTAATCTAAACTACCAATAATAAAATATATCTTACTTCACACACAAATGTAGTTTTCTGATTGGCTGAGCACTCTGTACCCAGCGAGTAACATTTTCCATGTACCCCGCTGGGAATGCCGAACACATTTGGTACTTCGTAGTAGTAATTCTGTATCTCGAGTAACATATTGAATGACGTATGATGTACGGTAAGGGAAATACATTGTTCAACGGTCCCTCCGGGGCCATGGATTGATATACTCTCGATGTTTGTTTATGTTCCCGGAACATAAAGAAACATCAGGATTGCATCAGCCCATCTCCCCCTCGAGACCAGTGAACAACTTATAATGCATGTATTTACAAAGTATTCATCAAAATTTATCTAATAATTCTATATTTCTTTTAATAAAAATCAATATTAGTGAACTTAACAGTACTAAAAAGATACTTAACAGTTGTGCCGTTTTGTGACTCTACTCCATATAGAAACTGGTTGATGAATATGTGAGTAAGTCACCCCTTTAAGATGGAAATATAGAATGAATGTGAACCAGCGCTAGTAGAGTTGTTAGAATAGTTGTCATATTTTGTATTATAAGAATTGTCTACTGTGTAGAGCTACGAACAGACATCTTCACTACCTGAAAGCGTGGAACATGGCTCGTAATATCAATCCCTTATAATTATGTTTCAAGATGATTAGATATAAGAATAATGGTTCCCCAATGCATGTGACACTACTGTGAGTGAGCATAATTTTATATCAACACGATTCCATGATGCTAATCCTTTGCTAATATTATCTCGTAAAGTTCTCTGCTCAAATAGTAGCGATATGAGAATGGGCCATCTAATTGTCACTATCTATTTTCTTTGAATAGAATTGTGTGAACGAGGTAAGAAGAATGGCTGAATATCTTGACCGCCCTTTGCCGGAGAAAACGTACGTGGAAATAGCAGAGGCGTGTTCTTTCAGCAAACTGAAACACGCCAACGAGAAGATCAAGGACCAAACCTACCACTTCCAGTGGCAACAGGGAACAAGTGGATACTTCAGAAAAAGGTGAGTACTCAGTTGTAGACAAAATGCGAGCCACTTCACTCGTTGAAACTAAACTGTATGACTGACTGAGTTTGGTTTTACGCCGCTTTTAGCAATATTCCAGCAACATCACGGCGGGGAACACCATAAATGGGCTTCACACATTGTACCCATGTGGGGATTCGAACCCGGGTCTTCGGCGTGACAAGCCAACGCTTTCACGACTAGGCTACCCCACCGCCCCTAGACTGTATGAGTAAAGTTAACAATAGCACAGCAATTAACTATTTAAATGTGCTTCACACATTGCATCATTGTGAGTGTTCCAGTTAGAACTATTAGGAGGCACCGAGCCACTCATGCATGCAGTAGACATACGAATGGAAATTGAGAAAACTGTTGAAAAGCGAGTGAGTGAGCGAGCTTAGTTTTACGTCGCAATGTGCCTGCTATATGGCGTCGGCCAGTAAATAATCGAGTCTGGATCAGACAATCCAGTGATCAACATCATGAGCGTCGATCTACGCAACTTGGATACGATGACACGTGTGACCCGATCCCGTTAGTCGCCTCGTACGGCAAGCATGTGTTACTGAAGATCAATTCTAACACGGATTTTCACGATTACCTTTCAGGAGGCTAAACATATTAACTGCACAGTGTTACTGATTTATATTAATGATTGAACTTTGTAATGGAGACGTGATGGGAACAGTATGAGGCGTTTAAGGCAAAACGATGAAATTACACTTAATCAGCGGATCAACTTACACTTTTCACCCAACTGTATTCACTTTTAAAAGAAGGAGCCAGTGAACACCGTGTAATACAATCATATTGGGATTGCACCATGCACTTAGTCAATAGTTTATTTGCTTTTAGGCCACCGGCCCAGAGCAAAGGTTGTACAGTACTATTTACATAGACAATAAATCACACAAAGCGTTATGAACCTAATAAAGATTTACTTAATAGAGTTGCATGATATATTTAATAGGCTACATTCTTAATCATTCATCATTATTAGAGGTCATTAGTGATATTTGATTATGTCTTACTGGCAGTTTTGGAAATGTTTCCGGTATGTATTTCTGCCTAATATTATTAAGATATGTACATAAAGTGCATTTCATCTTCTATTTTCACAAAGTCGACAATATCGTTCCTACCTGGTAATACCCTTAGCCCTCCCGGTTTCTATTTCTAATTGTAAAACTCAACACCTTAAACTTGCTAATAATTTTCTATACTTTTGTATCATTGCAAAATTTAAATATCGTTCTCGTTCAAATATAAAACGCCCAAATGTACATAATTCTGAAGACATTTCTACACCGGCATACCATTCTGTAATTTCTCTCATCCTTTGTACAAGTTGTAATGCACCATGCATAATGTGGCTAAACAGTATGTTTCTGGAATGATTTTGCGGCGGAAGCCATTACGTTGGACCATGTCCTAAATGGAACTATGTATTTCTTACCTGCCACGTTGAAATAGTGAAACATATATTCGAAATATGCGCAATTGATGTTGGAAGAGTGTTTCTGTGTATGTTCTTGTCTGTTTGTCGGGCACGCCCAGGAGATGATGACCGAGGACAATTAAGTCATAAACAGACCTGGACTGTTCGTAGCGTAGAAGAACTGAAGCCTGGCTTACTTAATAATCAAAGGCAAATATGAATATAAGTTTTGTTCAAGAAATAATTACGTGTACTTTTAATGTGTTTTTTTTTCGTTTTCCAGGAAACACCGGTGACTGGAAGAACTATTTTACAGTCGCGCAAAGTGAGAAGTTCGACAAAATATATGAAGCAAAGCTAAATAAACCGTTCCCATATTGAAATGAATGTTCGAAATGGTTAAGTGAAGCAGCAAGTGGTAATATGTTATACATCCTCCATTGTCAATACCCCAGAAACGCCACTATTACACTTCAGTAAGAAGGAAGGTTCAGCACTCATTCAATATTTTGTCACTTTATTTTGAACACCTGGGATGATGTCATAGTTTTGTTTTATGTTTTACTTTTGAAACTCGAGTCGTTGCAAAAAGACAAAGTTTATTTGATCGATGTTTTGCTTGGATGATCAAACATAACATGAATAAAGCTGATATTGACTTTGTTTTTGTGTGTGTTTCATTCATAGTATGTTCGATTTTAACCCAGATATAGTTGGCTGCAAACACAAAATACATGTCCACTTGTACATGCGTCTGCGGCACAACAGAACAACACTTACCGTTGTGTATGTACAAAACCTTGTTGGCTGGCTGCTACAACATTCCGTTCTCTCTCTCTCTCTCTCTCTCTCTCTCTCTCTCTCTCTCTCTCTCTCTCTCTCTCTCTCTCTCTCTCTCCTCTCTCTCCCCCTCTCTCTCTATCTCTCCCTCCCTGCGAGTGTGTGTGTGTGCTGGTAACATGTCGTTATGTTTGCGTGAAGGTGGGGAATGTAACAGGTAGATTGAGCAGTATAAATCGATTACGTCATGACTACCACAGAATGGAATGGTATCTTCGAACTTGTGTCATATGTTCCTGTGCCTTTTAGGTGATTGATTTCATGTTGCATGTATTTTCCTTATAGGCTTCACGCATTTCATCCATACTGTTAATCGTACTATACTCGCTATCGAACTTCGGACAATTGCTAATAGCTGATGTCATATATGATTCAGACCCATGCGTATACCACAATCATTTTGTACCGTGATAGTTCTATGAATATTTGTGTCCTTAGAGTGGTGATCTCTTTTCAGTTGTTGGCGATCCTCAGCCCTTTCTACGCCATGTCCTGATTTAAAATCCTAAGTAAGGAATAAACTCTGAAGACTCGCCAATATTCGCACGGCTGACCCACAAAGCCGCACGAATATTGGCGATTCTGAGGAGTTTATTGCGCTTAAACCTAAAATCATACATATTGGCTCCCTAGTGTCGTAACTCATGCACCCGAACACAGCAATATTAATATTGGCGTCCTACAACTGGGTAGCACGGTATGCACGATACACACGCTATGAACACGCTCTACTGTGCACCTGGCAGCATATTGGAGGGATACAAAAGAAACGAAATTTTTACTGCATCCATTTCACCAGATGTTTTAATCCATGTCAGGCGAATGGGGTTCTTTATGCGGTGTCTTTGTTCCTCCAAAGTAATACATTTTCCGAAGCTTTTAAATGGAAGTATTTTAAGTGTGAATTTTGATATCACTCTGCAAGGTGACAAAAGTCATGTAGATACAGTTGGGATTAGTTCTTCGGATTAGGAATTGCTGTGTGAGTCGCAAAACCTAGAACGGGAATTTGACCAAATGAATAGTTCAGCAGATGATGAACTGATGCTTGCTTCTCAGCAGATAGAAAAAGAAAGTGAACAAACAACTACCAAACGTTTTGGCAACCCTCTCAGCTTCTGAATATCAAAGCTTGGAAAATCTCGCAAAAAAAAAAAAAAAATACAGAAAGGAAAGACGTTGGCAGTGCGGAGTTTAGATTCCTGGCAACGTGAAAGGGATGGGTTTGAATCCCAGTTAGGCAGCAAATTATTAAGTATTTCTGATGAAGATCTGAATAGGACGCTGAGTCTGTTTGTCACAGCAGTAAGGAACTAAAAGAGTGAGTGAATTTAGTTTTACGCCGCACTCAGCAATATTCCAGCTATATGGCCGCGGTCTGTAAATAATCGAGTCTGGACCAGACAATCCAGTCATCAACGGCATGAGCATCGATCTGCGCAATTGGGAACCGATGACATGTGTCAACCTAGTCAGCTAGCCTGACCACTGTAGACACCTCTTACGACAAGCATGGGTTACTGAAGGCCAATATTCTAACCCAGACCTTCACGGGTAAGGAACCAAAGGGGAGGTCAATACAAGGGAAACATAATTCATGAGATTCTTATTTCGATGCAGAGATTCTTGCGCCAAAGTGGTCGAGATGTTAACCTAACCACCAATTTTGCTTTTAAGGGTTTAAGAATCATTTTAGTTGCTAAAATGTAATCACTACACAGGCTGGTTTTGGCATGCATAGAAGGCTAGGCAAGCTAGCGTCATCACACCACAGGAGGAGGATGCATTGTGGGAGTGGGGTTTGCTTGGGGATGAGACCCCGGAAAAATTGCTTGAAACTGCTTTTCATTTGAATTGGCCGTTTTCCATATAGACTTGACCAAAAGTACATGTCATTTAGGTGAGTGAATAATATGATGATTACTTAAAATCTTAAAATTTAGAAAAAATGAAATTGATATCGTTTTAAAAACAGTTTGTTTAAAAAAAACATGACGACGGCTACAGTGCAGCTTGTATGCAATGTATGAACAACTTGACTGCAGGCCAGTGGGATGTGATGACCTGGGAATCGAACCCGCGCAGCAGGCACTTTAACTACTAGTCTACCTCACTGCCCATAGACGTAATTAATAACTGAGGTAGCCTAGTGGTTATAGTGCCTGCGGCGTGGGTTCGATTCCCCGCAAAGGCACAATGTATAAAGCCCATGCGTTGTGTCCCACACCGTTATACTGCTGAAATTCAAGTGCTAAAACTGTACACTTCGTTGTGGAATGTAACGGTGCTAAAATGAAATTTGACATGAAATAAATGGGTGAAAACATTTGTTTGTTTCTGTATTTCAGTCGTGGGGGTATTACTGTTTGGATTCAGCGTTAGGACCGGGTCGGTAATAGGGCGTCAATATTTGAAGGTAGGGCGCCAATACACGCGATGAAGTCTCCAATATACGAAGCTAGGTCGCCAATAAACGAAAGATACGGGCTTCCCATCCCATCCTTATTCGAGGGATATGTCGTGTAATGGAGGCAAGTTTAGTTCTATTTCTTATTACTCTGATATACTACTACTAATAATAATAAATCATCTTCTATAGCGTACAGTCTCCAAACACCAACTGATTGCTTGCGGCGATTAATCAGAATCTGATTCTTATTACCCCAGATAACCCAAGCTGCCTGTTACCCCGGACAACCCAAGCTGCCTAGAACGTTAAAGTCACATGACTATTCACCTTGCCTAAGTTGAGACCACATGTATCACATGTGCTTCGTAGTGGGGCAGGACTGAAGTCCTAGAAACTCTCAAGAGTCAAGCTGCCAAACAAGGTCACCCATCCAAAGACTGTCCGAGCTTGACGTTGCTTAACTTCAACTGATTCGTGACCTGAGCTCTGTGCACAGGACCACACGTTGGTTTTACTGTCCTTCGTCGACAGTTTTTTTTATAACTATCTTAAGTCAAGATATGGCTGAAATACTGCCGCTGCGACTATTAACGTTAACTCACTCACTTACTATATTTTTTTGTTTCATGATTATTTACATCATCGTCAAAGCTCGATACTCTGAATAGTTAAATTTTTACTATTGTTTCTTAAATGCAATACGTTTTTATACAACAGCGTACCGTTCAATGAACCATGTGGCCCGGTCAATAGCAACTATTCATAACAACCTGAGCCCACATATTAGAGGCCTTAGAACAATATTATTTTATATATTGTGTATCAACAGATGTTGTCAACCCACACATTCGTTACAAATACTCAGTATCAATTTTCCATTACGCGTACAAAGCACAATAAAGGTAAATGTAAGTGACTGTATCGCTGCAAAAAAATAATGAGGCAGGTATTCACACAAAATTAAAGTCTTGCAGGACTAAAATAAAGCAGAAACCGTAAGCCCTAATATTCTTGTCTGCATGTTAGGAGCATTGATATATCTGTTGAGTGAAATGTGCATACGAGGGACGCATCGACTGCCGCAGGAATGTTGAACTACTGCCATGTACGACGACGACGAAATTAAATGTTTAACGTCGGCTTCTGGCGTAAGCCAATTTCGCCGACGGGGTAGGTGGGAGCTAATGTAATAAGTAATAAATGTTAATAAGGGATAAACCACCTTACCCAAAAAATATAAATGCTGGGGCGTTAAACCTAAGTTGAATTTGGAATAAAAAACGTTTATAAACATAAATAGAAATAAAAATAATAAAAAGCCAAGTTAAAAAAAGGAGAAAGGAGGGATAAATAGGAATAGTGATTGTTAATAAGTAAGAGATAGAGTTGAAGTGAGTGAGTGAGTTAATATTTAACGTCACATATTTCAGCCATATCGTGACGAGAACATTGAAATGGAATATGTATATATTATAAAACCTGTCATCGAAGGACAGTAAAGCACCTAGAGTATCACAGATATATATGTAAAACTAGTAATTGAATCTAAAACATTTTAACCATAGGGGACAACACAATCTAAAAATGGGCTATAGATCGCTAACAACTGAAGGTAGATCACCATACTAGGGACCATGGGGACTTACAGTACATTTGCTTCCTGCATGGGCCCTAGCTGGATTTATATCATCCCCTCAGCCGTTAGCAATTAAGACATATCTAGCCATACATTAAAATTACAAATATTCTACGATTAAAAAACGAAAAGTTGAAATTTACTTTGAATGTTTTGGGACTTACGTACCCTCTCAGGAGGACAATAATTTTACAGTACTTTAACCCCCCTCGAGGATACAGCCACTAACAATCTATGTTACTCATTCAAACTTCCAATCATAAAATATTTAGCTATTTACAAATCTGTTAACAAATTTAATTCTTTTAAAAAAGCAATAATTAAATGAGGACTTATATTAGTAAAAAGATCCTTCATAGTTCGGGATTTGAAATAGATATCCCTTGTGATGGAGTACTCAACGCAGTCAAGCAAGACATGCTTGACCGTGATTCGTTCATCACAAGGGATACAAAACGGAGGATCCTCACCTTTTAATAGGTACTCATGCGTATATCTAGTGTGGCCAATACGACATCGTCGCATAATGACCTCTTTAAATCTGGACTGACAACCCAAGTAAGTGTAACCGATATAGGGTTTTATTGCATGTAATTTATTGATACCTACTTGGATGTCCCACTTCTTCTGCATCAGATCACGGATGTAGGTTCAAATGCAAGCTTTGTAATCAGAGTAAGGAAGAAGAAGTGGTGTCACAGATTTGTTGAGTGCTGCCTTGGCAGAAAGATCGGCTATTGTATTCCCCGAAATGCCAACGTGACTGGGTAACCAACAGAAGACGATGTCGCATTGGCCAGTAGCAAGTTCATTATATAACTCAATAATTTCTATTAAAAGTGGATGTTTACAGGAAAAGTTTTTAATAGCCTGAAGACAAGAAAGAGAGTCTGAAAATATTATATATTGTTTATGTTTGGAATGTCTTTGGATATATTTAAGAGCTGTTAAGATGGCGTTTGCTTCCGCTGTAAAAATAGAACTGTTATCAGGTAGTCTAGAAGATATTGTTCTGGATCCAATGACAGTGGCACATGCCACTGCGCCACCGTCCTTGGACCCATCTGTAAATAAGGATTTGTATGTATTATATTTGATTTTTAATTGATTATATTCTTGTTTATATTGTAATTCATTAGTTTCAGATTTCTTAAACTTTGTCAGAGTTAGGTCAACTTCAGGCCTCACCAGTTGCCAAGGAGGAGAAGAAAGAAGACGAGAAGGAGATATATTTTCCAGCTCAATGCCGGCAGCAGAAAGAAATGGTTTAATTCGTAAACCAAGAGGCGGAACAAGAGAAGGCTTTTTGTTGTACAACTCCTCATAAAGAGGATGGAAAACACAGTTAAATGCACGATTAGACTCGTTAGAATAGAGTTTTGTTATATACTGTAAAGATAGTTTGATACGACGTTGGGTAAGGGATGGCTCATCAGCCTCAACATAGAGACTATCAATAGGAGAGGTTCTAAAGGACCCAAGACAAAGTCTTAGGCCTTGGTGGTGGACAGAATCAAGTAGTTGTAGGTTGCTTTTGCAGGCCCCACCATATACGATGGAGCCATAATCAAGTTTCGAGCGGACCAATGATCGATATAGGTGGAGGAGGGTAGTTTGATCCCCTCCCCACTTTGAGTTGGAAATAACTTTCAACCAATCAAGGGCCTTCAGGCATTTAGCTTTAAGTGATTTAATATGCGGAAGAAAAGTTAAATGAGAGTCGAAAATTAGACCCAAGAACTTGGCCTCCTTGACAACTTTTATCGGAGTGCCACTTAAAGATAGTTCAGGGTCTTTATGGGGCTTATATTTTCTACAAAAATGTATACAATTAGTTTTGGATTTAGAAAATTTAAAACCGTTTTCAAGACACCATTTATCTATTTTATTTAAACACAACTGCAGTTGCCGTTCAATAGTATGCATATTTTTACCACGACAAGAAATGTTAAAATCATCCACAAAAAGTGATCCATCAATTGAATCATTTAAAACCTTTGATAAACTGTTGATCTTAACACTAAACAAAGTGACAGACAAAATACTGCCTTGAGGGACACCCTGATCTTGACTGTAATGATCAGACAGGGTAGTCCCCACTCGGACTTGAAATTGTCTGTCTTCTAAAAACTGTGATATAAAAAGGGGTAAACGACCCCTCAAACCAAAATCATGGAGATCTTTCAAAATTCCATATTTCCATGTCGTATCATATGCCTTTTCAAGATCGAAAACAATCGACACAGAATGTTGTTTTTTTAGCATGGATTTTTTGATGAAAGACTCCAATCGTACCAAATGATCGATGGTACTACGATTTTTCCGGAAACCACATTGAATGTCAGTGATGAGGTTGTTGGTTTCCAGGTACCAAACTAGACGATTATTAACCATACGTTCCATTGTCTTGCAAACACAGCTAGTTAAAGAAATTGGTCTGTAATTAGACGGATCTGTATGATCCCGGCCAGGTTTAGGAATAGGAATGATTATGGCATTGCGCCATGATGGTGGGAAATTACCAGAAGTCCATATACTGTCAAAGATATTTAATAATGTTTCTAAACATGATTCAGGGAGATGTTTAAGAAGCTGATAATGAATATCAGCTCATGAATGGAAAAGATTTCATTATAATCCTCCCCATTATCTGAATTAAAATAAATTTTCTTTTTTTCTGGCTGGTTTTTAAATTTCTGAAAAGTTGGTGAATAATTGGATGAGGAGGAATGTTTGGCTAAAGTTTCGACTAATTTGTTAGCAATATCAGATTTTTCTGTTAAAAAAGAGACACCCTCCTTAAGATGGTGCACACTACATTTGGAACCTTTACCTTTTATCTTCTTCACCATATTCCATACCTTAGAAATAGGTGTACGTGAGTTAATTTTAGAAACATAATTTCGCCATGACTGTCGTTTATTTTGTTTAAATGTACGACGAGCCTTGGCGTTTGAAATCTAAAATTGGTTTAAGTTATGGACTGTTGGGTGCCGACGGAAATATTTTTCTGCCTTTTTCCTAGCCTTTCTAGCTTGTTTGCAGTCAATAGTAAACCATGGCTTACGGATGTGTGGGACCATAGAGGACTTGGGAATACAATCATCAGCAATCATATTTAATTCATCAGAAAACATCTGAATAGGATCAGACACAGTTAGAAAGAATTCGGGTTTTAATCTGGTATGGCATAAGGTCTCGAACATAGACCAATCTGCCTTGTTAAAGTTCCACCTGGACGATGGTGCAGCATCACTGGGGTTTATGGCTGAAAGAATAGTGGGAAAATGGTCACTTCCACAAGAGTCATCATGGACCGACCAGTCAAATTCGTTATATAAATTAGAGTCCACAACGGACAGATCCAGAGAGGAGTACGAACCAGTTGCAGGATGAAGATATGTGTCAGAGCCATCATTGAAAATGCATAAATCATTATTTGAGAAGAAATCCTCGAGTATCTTCCCTTTTGCATTGGTCGTGTTACTACCCCAAAGTGGGTTATGACCATTTAAATCTCCCATTATAATGCAAGGTTTTGGGAGCTGATCATAGAGCATCTGAAGATCACATTGCTGTATAGAAGATGATGGTGGTATATATAGTGAACACAAAGTAAGTACAACATGTAGTGTCACGCGGACAGCAACGACTTGAAGAGGGGTATTAAGTGAAATAGCGCTATGAATCGTGTCCCGACTCACCAGAATAGAATATCCCCCAGTGGCCTTATCACCAGCTGGAGAAAAACGATGGTAGGAATCACAATTCCTTCAATCAAATTTATCTGTAGATTTCAGGTATGTTTCTTGTAAACATAGTGCTGATGGTCTGAAATCCTGGATTAAAAGCTGTTAATCATTATAATTGGTCCTGAGACCTCTACAGTTCCACTGTAGAATATGTGAAGACATTACCTTTTAGGAGGATTAATTGGCGATCTTCCCCGCCCTTTCCTGGAGGGTGCGGGGCTATGTGTTCTCTGACTACTGATGTCAGACACATCCATATCCTCAAGTGAACCGTATTTGTTGAACAACTGGATCTTGTTATCAGATCCTTTAGATCTCCTGCCACTTTGGGGATGTTTGGATTCCGGGATTGGTTTGTTTTTGTTTTTTACCACTTGTTTTACATTTGTTTCTAACTGTGTGATCATAGACGACTGAGATGATGGTAGATCGTGGGGAGGTGTTTGTGAACTGGCCGATTCCACAACAGGAACTGTTGCTGCAGTGATAGAGACTGAAATTAACTTAGGAGCGTCGGTTTCAGTCCATGTATAATCGGTCTGACAACCAATTGATGTACATGGAACGTGTTGCGGAACAGACTGTGAAATTGGTCGAGTAACGGCTGCAGAATGGGAACTGTGTATGGACTGTTCTTCACCCAGAACAATCTTCTTCGCATCTTGAAAAGATACATTCCTTTCATGTTTGATTTTCATGATCTTGGATTCGCGTTTCCATATGGGGCAATCTTTGGAAGAGGAAACGTGATTACCGCCACAGTTGACACATGAAGGATCTTTGTTACATTCAGTACTGTCATCACAGTTACCGCCACAACGATTGCAAGCAGCGTCTTTATTGCACGTTCTAGATCCATGTCCATAATGTTGGCATTTGTAGCATTTCAGAGGATTAGGGATGTACAGATCCACTTTGATATTACAATATCCAGCTTTAATTGTGTTAGGTATTTTGGAAAGACCAATGGTAAACAGATACGTGTTGGTCTTAATGATCGCACCATGTCGTTTGGAAGAGAAACGTTTTACAGATATAACATGTTGGCTCTTTAGTTCTTCCAAAATGTCATCCTCAGTCATGTCAGCAAGTAAACGACCACTATCTCGCACTATCCCCTTACAGCTGTTCAAGGATCGGTGTGGGGAAACCACAACTTGAACATTTGCGAGGGTCTTGGCGGAAAGAAGATTGACAGCCTGTTTCTGTCGTCTACATTGAATAAGTAGACAACCACTGCGTAATATTTTGGCATCTTCAACATCGCCAGCAATGCCCTGAATAGCCTTCTCAATGGCAAAAGGATTCAACTTGAGTGGAGTGCCATCCTGAGTTGAGATAACCAAGAATCTGGGCCAGTTTTCAAAAGTCACAGAAGGCGTTCTTGGCCTATCTGCATCACACAAATCATTTGACTCATACGAGCGTTTTTTTCATCGGGGGTTCCATGGTTGTAGTGATTTTGGTTCATCCTCCTGGCTCCCCACCCACCATGGAGTGTCAACAAGGACGATGCCCCATGCCTGTGGGTCTCCAACAGGCGGCACCAGGGATACCAGGGGGATATACTCAAGTAGAAACATTAACAAACAATTTTTCTACCAGATTGGCCCATGAGCCACCGCCTTCTGGCATGTTAGACTCTAGGCAAGTAATTTTGTATTTGTTGATATTAAGCAAGTGAATAGTACAAGTACATTTTTACCAAGTCCACAAAGTAATCAATGAATAATTAGATATAAGGTGTGCAAGACAAAATACAATGCACAGGGCTTGGCGTGACCAGCCGATTGATAGAACCGGGCCAGTTCTACCACCCGTCTAGGTGAAGTAAGGGTCGAAGTGGTGTATTGGGCAAAGGAACACTGTTCCTGGAGCCCTTGCCCTCAACCACCAGAGTCCCGTCCTCCACCGACACAGGGGCGCAACCCACGGCAAACAGGTTGGTGGACCTAATATCCCCCCGGGTCCACAACGGGGGGTTTGAAGGGCGCTTAGCGTTACCCAGCACCCACCACGAGGAGGTGGCCCTTCATGGGTGCCAGATAGAGTTGAAATAAACGATAGGTGACATAAAAGGGGGCCTAGGGGGTGGGGAATGGGGGTGGAATGGGGACGGTGAGTTTTGAACACGTATAGCATAGGGGGCAGATATTTAAATGCAGTTAAGCTGCATAAGTTATATAAGGGGCTATATAAAGAATGAATAAAAAAGGAGTTAAGTTGGACGGGGATAGGGGGCTGAGGGGAGCAAGGGAGGCGCAATGAGGCATAGGCCGGGTTGAGGGACAAGCGGTGGTAGTGAGCTGGCTGGCGAGTGACCTTGACCTTGGCATTTAGGGCTTGTGACGGGTTGTTACTGCCATGTACAGGAAGTTGTTTTAGTTTTAAAGGTTTGTCGGTGTATACAATGGCACCAGTTCGTGGACAATAACAAGAGTGCAAAACAGAGTGCTATATACTCACTCTGTTACACAATCAGTCCTTATGGATTAAAGAAACGATGCGAATTTTCAAAGTGCTTTGATGAAACCTAGATTCACAAAATAATAAACATGCATAGGACAGTTCTTTCTTCACTTATGTAAACAACCTATGTACATCATTCCCTACTGGCTGCCCATCAACATCCTTAATCCCTTATGTATAAAACCATATACATGTTCTTTACTGGCTTCCTGTCGACCTACTTAATCCTGTGTTATCAACCTCTTCTATTGTATCAAACGACTAATTTTCGCCTCATCCCTCATCTATTGTACAAACATCTCATGTATATATATCACCCAAATTTTACCCCATGTACCACTTGCTTGACGACGACATTAGAATCTATGTCGAAACGTCGCCTATGTAGAATAAAGAAGCTGTATATCCATAACAATAGTCCTCATGCTTCATAAAATTACAGTTTTTTACAAGAAATATGAATAAAAAATTGTCTATCATTTCTATCTACTTTAGAAATTCGATAATAAAACGAAGATTGCCATTATAAAAATGATCCTTAACAGTTTAATGGTCAAATGAGGCCTTATATGTTGAAAGCCGTATGTTGTTATGTGAATGTTAACATTTCTTAACTTAACTGGCTCTAGTGTTGAAATTCATGGATTAAGAGACAAGTTACCAACCGAAATAATTAACTCACAATCAGTAAATTCGTTCAAAACACGATTGCAGGTCAAACAAAGAAATATGCTCTTTGATAAAATCTTTGGATCTAGATTTTGTCAAATAATCCATGCTCGCATCGGGTTGGGTTGAAGTGACTTGAACGCTCATTGTTTTGATAGACATATTTCAAATAATCCGAATTGTGCATGTGGGTATCCGTGGGAAAAGTCTCTCCATTACTTCCTTTCTTGCCCTTGTTATGACTTAATAAGATCAGATTAATATTTCTACACTTATGGGTTTGACTTAAATTCAAATCTCCATGGTAATCAAACTTCAAGCAACATCATGAATCAGCTTATTCTTGACTCTGTTCACCCTAGTATGGTGATCTACCTTCAAATGCTGGCGATCTACAGCCCGTGTTGTATATTGTATTGTCTTCTTTGATTACACTGTTTTACATGCTAGTCTTATGTTCATATCTGTGATACTCTAGTATTTTTTTCTGTCCATCGTCGACAGGTTAAACTCTTCATAATGTTATTTTTTGTATTATATAAATTGTTTTCGTCACAATATGGCTGAGATATTGCCGATGTGACGTTTAATATTAACTCACTCACTCACTTGACTGTTCACAAATACATACTTCTTTCAAATAGATTAAAATTATTCTAAACTGTAACTAGCGAATCGTTTAATGTAATTTTGTAGACTTTTTCCTGTTATTATGCATTTCATGCCTTTGTGGAAATAATTGCTTCTGTACTTTGTTCGAAATTGATCATTGATTGTATTGTATTATATTTTATGGAGTGACGCTCACATAAGCCGTTGGCTTGTTGTGCCAATCCATATTGAATACCTCTTAAAAGGTGAGGATCTTCCGTTTTGTGTCCTTTGTGATGAAAGAATCCCGGTCAAGCATGTCCTGCTTGACTGTATTTTTTTTTCATCACAAGGGATAAGTATTTCAATGTAGCACTGTTAATGTTCATTTAATTATTGAATTTTTCAAAGAAATAGAATTATTTGATAAATTTTGATGAATAGTTTGTAAATAGATATCTATTTTAATATTGGTAGTTTGGGTTAGTAACTGAGATTATTAGTGGCTGTACCCTCAAAGGGGGTTAAAGTATTGTAAAATTATTGTCCTCCTGAGAGGGTACGTAAGTCCCAAGATAGTTCAAAGTTAATTTTTTCACCTACCACTATTTTTAATCGTAGCATGTATGTTATTTTAATCTATGGCTAGATTATCTAAAATTGCCAATAGCTGAGGGGATGGTGTAAATCCAGCTAGGGCCCATGCAGGAAGCAAATGTACTGTAAGTCCCCATGGTCCCTAGTATGGTGATCTACCTTCAGTTGTTGGCAATCTATAGCCGGTTACAAAGAGAAGTGAAATTGTTTGAACGATACCTCGGCTTGCTCTCAGTGAATGGGATGGTTGTGTGACTGTTAACCTTCAAGTGCCTCACATCAGCATTGTATGAGTGAGTGAACGTGGTGTTACGCCACATTTAGCAATACTTCAGCAATATCACAGCGGGGACACCAGAAATGGCCTTCACACATTGTACCCATGTGCGGAATCGAACGCGGGCCTTCGGCGTGAACAGCGGACATTTTAACCACTATGCTACCCCGCCCTTCAGCATTGTTTGGTCCCCATAGCCCGTGATTACATACCATGGAAGGGTCTTGATACTTACTGATACTAAAGATAAAGGGAAATCGAACGCTATGCTTTTGTATACACCATTCTGACTGTGGTGACAGTAGTTTCCTGCGCTGAGACAGTGCGCCTGCTTTCCAGTTTCTTTGGTGGCGAAGCCTCGTTCTTCACCATCATACTCTACAGATTCATGTACGAGACAGTCTAAATATCTCATTTTAAACTTAATGTAACATTAACAATTTCACTGACTGATTACATTCGGGTCTTCCCTTCAAGCAAAGCATAACGCTAGCATGCGAAATAACAGGTTGAGACAGTCCAAATTGTGTCATATATATAAAATCTACAAACAAAACACAACATACTCAGTAAAAGAATAGAGGAAGGTAATTTGTCCCTGGTTGTATTGTCAGAAATCATCGCTGATAACATAATTGTATATGATGTAAACAAGCTTAGCTGCAGACAGTTTCTGTGTCAAATGTACGCTTTACATATTTGCATCCTACATGGGATTCGCGGTTCATTATATCGGAATGTCCCAGTTTACAAATGAGGGAAACACGTGCCAGGGTTATCCTTCACGAATTACCGGTCTGGAAACTATCACCAAGTTACAGCATTAAAGATGCGCCAGCCATTCCGACCATAGCACACGGGTCTCATCCTTTAGTGCGAGACAGCCTTATTTGTTACACCATCATGTCATATTTGTTTGACCATTTTGTAATAAAACCCTTCAACAAAAACGAGTCTGAACTATCCTCAGAAACAAATTTCATTTCATGTGAAGGTTTGAAAAAACTGCTTATATCATATTAATGGACAGATGAAAGGGAAAGGTTGTCCTGCATTGTCAGTGGCAGCCACCAATCTGCCTACAAAGGTAACACTTAACCAAAGGTAACCAGACAATCAAGTGATAGATGGACTTTGCATTCAAGCTGTTCACTACAGCTGTGTTGAGTACAGTAAGTACAGAAAAAAACGCTCTTGAAACAAACATTGTTCACAACACAGTGGTGTCATTATAAATGTTTATATACTCAAGGTGGTATATTTGCATATCCATATATACATAGACACGTGACCTACACAATCAGTGATCGTGAAAAACGGGCCAGGGATAGCGCCAGCAGCTTCTTTCAGATGATACACTGAAACGGCCGACGTCTTACACCCTTGACGATTCGATGATTTAGTCCTTGATATGTAAGTATGATGCTCCCGTAATGTCAAGACAAGCAGCGCCCTTTATGTCTGTACATTTCACAGCGCTTGAGGTACAGTCCAGCAATTTCTTTCTACCATAAAGAGCCTCATAACACTCGTACTCAAACTTCTAAAAGAGCCTGCATGTTCGAGGTCTAACTTGGCATCATCATTATTGACAGTGACTCTTATTTGAAGGGGCGGTGGGGTAGTCTAGTGGTTAAAGCATTGGCTCGTCACGCCGAAGAACCGGGTTCGAATCCCCACATGGGTATATTGTGTGAAGCCCATTTCTGTTGTCCCCCGCGGTGATGTTGTTGGAATATTGCAGCGTAAAACCAAACTCACTCAGTCTTATTTGAAAATACGCTCCTCATACAATCTGAATCACGCGCTATGTTTCCTTAACTGATCTGATCGGTTTGCATGGTCCGTTGTATGATGCTAGTCAGTCATGGATTATTTTGACGTTGAATGCAAAACATATTTTCATCTCCATCTTGGCCGATCTTTTTCACAGATCGGTATCTCAAACTGACATGAACATAAAAAGACGTTTCTGGTAGGTCTTCATTTTTACCAATGCCGACTTTGCTATATACTAACTTGGCTCCCCGTTACATCTAGCTTTGCGTTTGGAAATCGAACACAAATTTCTCTTTGTGCTCTCATTTGATGATCTTGTACAACTCCAGAATACGATCTGTGTAACAACAAAATAACGGAAGTTCACTCCAACACTTTGTAAACAAGACAAAAACTTGATCACAGCTGCCATTTCGCCCCAGCAGTAATTTTGAGATGAGGACAACTGCATGCTACTTTATACATACAAATGCAATGCTATTATGTAACATATTTTCTGAAATTTCGATTGAACATATCGTTTAGGTTGAGATTTTGTGGGTTTTCGTCATTGATATTGCGTTACTTTTGGTATCACACATCTAGCCTTCCACCTGGCATACTAGCATCAGAGTATAGTGCTTCGTAGTACTGCATTTTTTTACATGAACATCAATTTCGAAGTCCATACTAAAATGTTTCAGCACCAATGGCTACGCCAGCGGAGAAAGCAATGGCGGCAGGGATCACTATTGACCTCATCATGTTTGAAGGATTTGTCCAGTCTGCGATGATAGTGGACAACTTGAAGAAATTAAAGGATCTTCCCATCCGTGACGATGACATATTTATCTGTACCTACCCGAAGTAAAGGTAAATACCTGTAATGAGTAATGTCATTAAAATGTTTCTCTGTTTGGCGCTCAACCGCAAGAATGTAGATACCCAAGCTCTAAGTATTCAAAGGGGTATTCAAAACTACTCAGGAACATGACTATATGCCACTAGAGAAAAGCTACATGCAGACGTTGGGACAAGTTGTGCACGTGTTCGCTCGTCGCACAGTTGGCCCCGAGTTTTATTTCCCTAGAAGTGTAACATGTAATTCCACGTTGTGGTGCCAAATATGTCACTTTGGGGACAATTGCTACTGTCGCCTAATATCGTCGCCTCTCACACGTTTACTAATGCACCTCAATTCATTCCGGTTAAGCATGCATATTCACTCAATATATAATTTGTAATATACATGATGAATAGTTTCAATGAGTCAGCATTGCCCATTGTAAGTTGACCTGCATAAACTAGTATGCCTTTCGCAGTTCTGTTCCAGTTTGTTAAAGAGAAGCTCAGACTATACAAGACACCTGTCAATGAAACATTCAACTGATTTTAATAACTTTCAACAACAACAACAACAACAAAGCAGAAGGACGGTAAAACAGCTAGATTATCACAGATATAAAATTAAACTTAATTAACGTTATTAAATCTAAAACATTTTAACTAGAGAGTACAATACAATATTTAAAAAAAATACTGGCTATAGATTGCCAACAACTGAAAGTTGATCACCAAAATAGGGACCATTGGGACTACAATACATCAGCTTCATGCATGGCCCCTAGCTGGATTAACATCATCCCTTCAGCCGTCAGCAATTGTCGACCAATTTAGCCATATATTAAACTAACAGAGATACTACAATTAGAACCTGGTAGATATACAAATACTTGGAAAGACATGGACTTACCTATGCTCTCAGGGGGACAATAATTTTACGGTACTTCAACCCCCTTCAAGGGTTCTGGAGTGATTGAGTGAGTTTAGTTTTACGCCGCACTCAACAATATTCTAGCTATATGGCGGCGGTCCGTAAATGGTCGAGGCTTAACCAGACAGTCAAGTGATCCACAGCATGAGCATTGTGATACGATGACATGTGTCAAACACTTCAGCCATCCGATCCCGTTTGTCGCCTCTCACGCCAAGCATGGGTAACTGAAGCCCAGAACTAACCCGGATCTTCATTCATGTGTTCTGGAAGGGGTATCGTTTTAGGTGGGGCGTTATGGTATGGGGTGTGATAAAGGATGGAGCAAGAGCGCCAGTGACTGATATTAAGGGTAATGAAATGTTGTGAGGTACCGCGACGTGATTAGCTAATGGGCGATGTGCGGCTTTCATGGCAGAATGGCCCGGGAGTTCAACGCGATAACGCTAGATCACACATTGCTAGAGTTGTCAATCAGTATCTTAATCAAAACAAAGATAATGTGTTACCCTGACCCGCAAGATAAACAGATTTGTCACCCACTGAGCATGCCTGGGATAAAAATGGAGCGACGTTTACGACATCTCCGAATCCTAAAAAAAACGTCAAAAAGAAATACATAGATAAAACATGAATACAAACATGAAATAAAAATATGTAAAAAAGGAGAAATCCTTCAGGACTTTAATCGACGCTTGGTGACTTCAACGAGGCCTGCATCAATGCACAAGGTGGACACACCCGCGTCTGTGAACTTGCATGTGATCCCCTCTTGCATATGCCAGGTAAGCTGTTTTTAT